ACCAGGAGACATGTTTTACCAACGGCACCATCACCTACAACAACACACTTTATTGTCTGCATTGCTGAAATAGTTTTGTATCCACTTCTAATTTCAAACTCGATGTTGACCTCAGCTTCTCCGCAGGGGCTGACAGTCCCGATTTTTAACAATTTTTCCTGCGTCCTGCAGCATTTTTAAAAAGTCCCGATTTTTGGAAAGAATGCACGACAAGCTAGGGTATACGGTTTCCAGCTGCCATGTGGCTATTTCGCCAGGATATGAGTTTTATCAACGGTGCCCCGCATTACCAATGTTAAAATCTGGCCACCTTATGCTAGCTTCATCTGCATAAACTATAGTAAACAGGAAGCAGTCCAAAATTATTCACATTTGATACTTTTGATGCAAGGTGAGCACAATAGACCAATCACAGGGCAGGCTAACGCACAGGGGAGGCAAAAATGTTGCAAAGCCATCAAATTGTTTACAGCTTACTCAGACAATGTGCGTGCACCTGGGCAAAAATCACAAGACCAGGCCCAAGGTCACTCCTCAAGGTGCAGCGAACACTGTTTTACCAAAATCCCAAGACAAAAGGTCACATGAAGGAATTCATTTTACTGCAGCCCTTGTCCCTGTGCCCTTTTAGAAATATGCTATTTGCAGATCTAACCAAGTTAAGATGAAATTATACTGGATGCAGGTGGACCCTAACCCAATAACTGGTGTCCTTTTAAGGCGATAGCACTTTAGATACAGACACAAAGGAAATGCCTGTGGTGACAGAGGCAGACTGGAGGGATGCATCCACAAGCCAAGGAGTGCCAACGGTTGTCATCAACACTAAGTAGTAAGGAGAACCTCCAGAGGAACCACCCTTGGTGGCACCTTGATTTCAGACTTCTAGCCTCCAGAACTGTGTGAGAATACCTTCCTGTGGGTGTAGACCCCCTAATGGATGGGGGTGCAGTGAGTTACACGCTGGGCTGCTAGCCACAAGGTCAGCAGTTCGAATCCACCAGTCCTTGCAAAGGAGACAGGTGAGGCTTGCTGCTTCCCTCAAGACTTACAACCTTGGCAACCCACGGGGTCAGCTCTACTTTAACCTATATGGTCGCTATGAGTTGGAGTCAGAAGGCTCAGGTTTGATTTTCTTAGTATATGGAACTTCCTTCTGCCTACCTTAGGAAACAAAAACAGGTGATGCTGTTACGTAACTAACCTACTAAACGTGGCCCTTTGGCTAAGGTGACCAGATTTTAACATTGGTAAAGCAGGACACCATTGATAAAAGTCATATCCTGACGAAATAGCCACATGGCAGCCGAAAACCATATGCCCTAGCTTGTCGTGCATTCTTTCCAAAAATCGGGACTTTTTTAAAACACCGGGGGACGCCGGAGAAATTGTTCAAAAGCGGGCAGGGGGACGCTGGAGAAATTGTTCAAAGGCGGGACGTCTGGTCACCTTACTTTTTGGCACAGGGCGGCCAGCAGTGTCTGAGGGGATTTTACAGAGAGAATAGCGGCTATGTCAATTGTCCTAAATAGCCTTTCTCCCCATCAATGATAGAAACTCCAATGTTATCTGGACACATGGATCAAAGAACAGACTATAATAGGGGTCCTCAAACTTTTTAAACAGGGGGCCAGTTCACTGTCCCTCAGACTCATTGGAGGGCCAGACTATAGTTAAAAAAAACAACAAAAACTATGAACAAATTCCTATGCACACTGAACACATCTTATTTTGAAGTAAAAAAACAAATGGGGCAAAAACACCTGGCGGGCGGGATAAATGTCCTCGGTGGGCTGGGGCCGTAGTTTGAGGACACCTGGACTATAAGAAGAGGCTTCTAAAAAAAAAGAAGAAGGGCTTCTAACGTCCATGGCAAAATTATATCATTATCTTTTCATTTGATTTTTCCAGGACCTTTTGGACGTTCCCGTATTTCCCAGCCTTCCATGCGACTAGACTTGCCATGTTACTGAGTTCTAGGCAATAGGATAGAATCCGAAGCACCACATCTGGAAAGGTCTTTGTGAGCTAAAAACCGAGACACAGAACGAAGGTAGAATTGAGACAAGGAACATGAGGTTAAGGGCGACTTTATTAGGGCAGGGAAAGCACTCCCGGGAGGGAAGGGAGAGCAGAGAGGGACAGGAGCATCTTGAGCTCCCCGGTGGGTTCTGAAACCCAAGGAGTTAGATGGGGAAACTGTGCCCATAGGTGGGACAATGGGATATTTGCAGGATTGGGATCAGGGAAATACAGGATCAGACAAATGAGGTGAAGAAGGCTGAGGGTGCTTGTACTGCGCCCTTAAGGAGAAGGGAGGCTTGCTTCCTGGTGCTGCAGCTTCTTGGAATGTGGGGGAGAGGCTGCACAGTCCAGCTCTGGCCTTGAGAGGCGGGGGGAAGGGGCCGCACAGTCCAGCAGGCTATCTTCCGGGAGAGCCGGGGGAAGGTGCTGGACAGACCAGACCCGGCCCAGACAGTCCTTAGAAGAAGAAAGCACAGCCTTCTCCTCCACTTTCCCCTTCTAGTTGCTGGGGGCGTCTGATGGCTGGAGCTCACCAGCCATTTTAGATCCTGGGTGGTTCCTGGAAATCAGTAGGGCCAAACAAGAGCACAGAGAGAGCTCGGATCCTGACGCCAGGAAGCCCTGATACTAGCTCTGAGGTGCCTACCTCCTACTTATTGTATGAGACCAAAAGAAACCCTAAACAAACAAAAACAACTGCCACGGAGGCCCTTCTGATTCATAGCGCCCCTGTATAGGGTTTCAGAGACGTAAGCCTGCCCTCTTGCAGATGGCTTCATCTTTCTCCCTCAGCAGCTGGGGGTTCCAACCACCAACCTGGAGCTTAGCAGTCCAAAGGCTGGCCCAGAAGGGCCAGTAACTTTATATATATAAACAAACCCATTGATAGTGAATCTGTTCTGACTCCCCAAATCCTACAGGACAGAGCAGGGCTACCCTATCAGGTTTCCAAGGCTGTACATCTTTGTGGAAACAGACTGCCACATCTCTCTCCCACCAAGGGGCTGGTAGGTTCGAACCACTGGCCTTTTGGTTAACCACCACGCACATAACCACCATGCCACCAGGTATACTTACCAACTACTACCTGCGGTTTTTGATGGCTAGGAAACTCACGGTTACTTGGCATTGTGTTGAACTGTACCAGAAAATTCCTGAACGAGAAACTACGTAAGAATAAAGATCACTGAAGAAGCCCTAGTGGCACTATGGGTTAGGTATTGGTCTGTTGACTATAAGTTTGGCAGTTCAAACCCAGACAGCAACCCTATAGGACAGGGTAAGAATCGGGCCTGTGAATTTCCAAGACTCTAAGTCTTGATAGGAGTAGAAAGCCTCGTCTTTCTCCAGAAATGGTTGGTGGTTTTGAACTGTTGACATTGTGGTTAGCAGCCCAACGCGTAACCTGCTACATCACCAAGGCTCCCCTAGAACAGGAAGAAGTGGGAGAGAAATGGGAAAGAATCCAACGCTATTGGAAAGACAGTCTTTCCTGGGACCCGACTCTGGTCCCAGTTGTTTGGCACTCTCCGGAGCCCTCTGGTGGCAGATGGTGACAAGCTCTGTTATCAGACAGCAAACGGTGCCTTTGGGGGTGGAAGTCACTGGCCTGGTGTGATCAGGCTGAGGTGTAAAGCGGCCAGATTAAACATTTGATTTGTGTTACTTCCAACCCACCCTTGTGTCACGTAAGGAGGAAAGGTGATTAAGGGCTCTGGAACGCACAGATGGGGGAAGAAATGGAACTGACCCCCCCCCACTGCTGCAGAGCCATTCCATTCCTAGGGAACTGGTCGGAGCAAAACTGCTCCAGGGTTTCCAAGCTGTCGGTCTCCCTTTGAGTTGGTGGATTCAAACTGCCAACCTCTCGGTAAGCAGCCCAATGTGCCATCCACTGCACCAACTAAACTGACAGGCGGTGGTGTTAAATCCATGCCCTCCACTACCCAACTTTTATAAAAAGCTTCAACGCACGAGTGCAAATGGATGATGGAGTGCTAGCGATGCTAAATGTAGCCAGACAATCTGCAGGTTAACGACGTGTCCTGGCAAATCGGATCTGCACGTGGGGCCTCCTATCTCACCAGTTCCCAAGCCCTAGCTTATCTGTAAAATGGGTACAATTACACAATCACTGTTGAAGCTTGTTTGATAAAGCTTGGCACATCATTAGTACGACAGAAATGTTGAGATGCATGACTTGTGAAGAAAACAAAAACATAAAGTTCTCTGCCGTTGGGTCGACTCCACCTCATGGCAACCCTGTACGACTGGGTCCAACCGTCCTGCGGGCTTTCCGAGACTGTGAGTCTGCAAGGGGGTAGAGAGCTCAGCTCTCTGGCAGCAGCTCGGTGGGTTCAATTGGCTGGCCTTGCAGCTGGCAGCTGACCGCAGACGCCCGCAGGGCTCCTGTACTTGGAAAAAGTACCCCGAAATAAGGACTGACGAATGGATAGCAATATGGGTCGACATGACCTATGATAAGCGATCACAAACGCTTGATGATAAAGTTAAGAGGATGAAAACGTTCATGGTCAAGTGTTGCTCCCCGTAAAATGCTCTCAACTTTTCGGCAATGTTTGGGAATGATGGTATGCACCGTTGTGGGGGAAAGGATGCGCCGTGGTGGCATTCTTTACGGGACGAAGTTTGGTTTGTGTCCGTAGGAAAGATCGAAGCACACCCACCCAGATCG